GAAATACCAAGTGCAAAGGTCTTGGTTCTCTGGGCAGTGTAGTACAGGCAGGGCCTGGTGGTGAAGATAAGGAGGTAATTGTGACTGCTATTACTGTTTGCAGCAATGTCAAAAAGTGCGTGCACACACACACACACACACACACACACACAAAATAATTCTTCCAGTAAACTAAGGGCTGGGAGGATAGCTCAGCAGCAGAAGCACCTGCCTGGCAAGTGGAAAGTCCTGAGTTTGATTCCCGGTACAAAAAAAAAAAAAAGTGCCAAAAGGCAGAAGGGTCTTTGCAGGCCATGTCTGGCAGGGAAAACGGAGCCAGAGAGGGGGTAGTCACTTATCTCAGGTCACACTGAGACAGCACACACAGTCAGACCCAGAACCTAACTTTCTAGACTCCATGCTGAGTGCTGCCTTCCACTGCACCATTCCTAGATTGTTATGGCTTGTGTCTAGATGTCCCCTCAAAGCCTCATGCAGTCATAGGTGGGGCTTTTTCGGAGGTGTTTAGATCTAGAATGTGTGATGCTGGGTTTAAGAGTGTGTGCTTACTAAAATCGGGCCACTGGGGCCAGGGAGTTAGTTCAGTAGAATAAGTGCTTGCCTGGCAAGCACAAGGGCCTGAGTTCAATCCCCGGTTCCACAAAATAAATAAATGAATGAATGAATGAATGAATGAATAAATAAATAATAAAATAAAATAAAATAAAATCGGGCCACTAATTAGCTTGGCACCATCCTAATCCCGGTAGCCTAAATGCTTACAAAAGGGGAAGAAAAACGCTGTTAAGGTCCCTTTTAGCTTGCTTTGCTACTTTCTGCCAAGAGAACTGCTTCTCTGCCATGCCTGTCGGCCACACTATCCTGCCTTGGAGCCAGCCAATGGAAACCTTTACAAACTATGAGCTGAACAAACCTTTCCTCTCTTAACCTTGTGGGTGTTGGGTATTTTGTCCCAGCAAGGAGAAATGGAACTAAGATACACATACATATATAGGTTAAAAAAAAAAATCGGGACTCTGGTGAGAATGTACAGCTCAGGACAGGACAAAGCAAGCCGTTCCTATTTGTCTCCATCCCACTCTGAGGCTCAGAGTTTACATCTTTTCTGGATGTGAAACCAGGAGGTGACCCAGGAAAGCAAATTAGTTCTGCTCCAAAGCTGATTCTGGCAAGATTGTGAAACTGAACTTAAGGGGCTCAACTTGAGAGTGCAGCAGCGCTGAGCGGGGCTGGTGGCTGGGCACAAGCCTCGGAAGTGTGCCAAAGAAATGAATTTGATTTAGCCTGGAATTCAGGAAGACCCGTTCAAAGTGACCCTCGGCTTGCAGGTGGGCAGATGGAGGCCCAAAGGCGCTGTCTCCCGCCACACAGCATTTGCTATTTCTGGAAGTCAGGTTTGGGGGCTCAGCAGGCCGGAATAGCTCACCCTTCCCCACTTCCTCTGGGGCTCCGTGGGGCAATGTCTAAATAAACCCGCCGTTAATGCAAAACCTCGCTAGCAGTTCTCGGCGGCGCGGCCCGGGCGCGACAGTCCCGGGAGCTGTGCGGGGCGGCCTTTCCGGATCCCTGCTCGGCTGCAGCGCGCTCCCGAGGCCTGAGGCCCGAGGCATGGCGGCGATTCCGGGCCCAGCACCCACCTGGCTCGCGAAGTAGCCTGCAGCGGAGAAAACTGCGGCAGCGCGCGGTTCGGCTCGGCTGCGGCGCGCATGCACTGGGCGGGCTCGGGGACTCGGGATCGCGATCTCCCGCCCTCCTCCTCCTCGCCCCGCCCTCTGCTCCTGATCTGCCGCGCTTTGGCTGTTGCACGACCGCAAGCTCCTGGCTGCGCCCACTGTGAGACCCCGGGAGGGTCACTCTCGGTGCCTGTCTCGTGTAAGAGTAGCACAGTGACACCAACCTCACAAGCTCTTAGGCTAAATAAGATCATTCTTGCATGCCAAAAGAACATTTCTGAGCTAGATCCTGAGGAGAACACATCAGGTTCTAGCCCTTGCTGCCTTCACGCATCCCTCGTGTCACAGTCTCTGTGCACCTCGCCGCGGTCCACCCCATCGCGCCCACCTTCAAGGCACCCTGCCTGCTCCCCATCCGCCACCCCGCATCCCCTGCTTCCTTGGCTCCAGACGTCCCCGAAGGTATGCGGACTAATTTGAAAGGAAGGGGTCTGGGGCCCAGCCTGACTTGCCGAGTGCTGTGAGCCTTCAGCGCCCTTCTCTGCTCTGAGGATCTCTGATCTCTACCAGAGATCCTTACTTCCAACGAGACACTAGGGCGCCCAAGGCAATTTGCTGAGGATAAAGTCCTCCGCTGTAATTCAGCTGTCCCTAACCCCCTTGGTGGAACAAAAGAGTTCTGTTTCTGTAAAAATAATGCATGCTCATTTCAAAAAACGTAAAAAAAAAAAAAAAAAGTACCAACGTGTCCAAAGCAAAAGGCCAGAACGTCTTCCACCAGCCTCACTGATTTATTAACTGCTTAGTAAGCACGTGTGCCCTGTGCCTGACCTGGTCCTTCATTGAGGGTACTGGGGAGAAACAAGAGCTTTCTGCTATGCCCGGCTAATGTGGTCCCTTGCTTTAGTGAAAACAGAAGGTTGAACTAAGCAACCGTGTGAATTTTCAGGGAAACGCTGTACTTGGAAAGCAAGAGAAAAATAAAGGGGAACACAGCTCTGGCAAAGATCAAGCCAGCTCTCTAGTAGGTAAGAGGCTAGGGAAAAGGGTGCAGCGCAAGAAATTGAAGGGCACAGGTCTGAAAAAGTGGGTCAAACGGCCCCATTCACAAAAGAACAGAGACTGGTTTTATGTGTGCTGTGGTTGGCGGGTGTCTAGTTGAGCTTTATTACTGGCTCTGGGTGGATCCTCTTGAGTTAGGAGGCAGTGTGGCTTCCATGGGACGATTATCATTGTTCCCAGCAGTCTCAGTCATATGTGACCCTGCTGGAGTCTAAGGTGACCCTAAGTTTAGGGCAATAACGATTTCTGAGCACAGTTGAATGTCCATGTCACTCTCTTATCCTGGTGTCGCCTATCTTGAAGGGTTAGGTAAGTTTAAGGCTAACAAACCTTATTTTGCTTTTATTTTTATTTTTAATTTTTTTTGCGGAACCGGGGATTGAACTCAGGCCCTTGCGCTTGCCAGGGAAGCGCTTATTCCACTGAGCCATATCCCCAGCCCCCTTATTTTGCTTTTAGATAGGCATCCCTTAACCTGCTCTTCTGGAGCTCTAAGGATTTGGCCCACAGTTTTACAAAATGAAGGTCAAGCTTTGCCCTAGTTTTCCCTACATACTGGGTATCCGTAGACCAAAGTGAGGAGTGACAGTTTTTAGCAAAATAAAATGCTTTTAAGTCCCTGAATGCTTCAGAAGAAAACACATATTGTGCTTTAAGTTAGTAAAAAGTTAACAGCCCAAGAGGTTGTCCTCTGTCCTTGAGTGAGCTGAAAGACAAAATCAAGCCCATACTTAGGACAATTCTGGATTAGCAGGAGTGGAAGCTCGGCGTGGGAATAGGTAGGAAGGAAGGAAGGCTTCCCCACCTCCAGTAGGTCACTTTCCACCCCTCTACCCAGCAGAAACAAGACTTTTCTGTATTACTGGGCTGGCTTGTCCATTTCATTCTGAGGCCTGCGAGGGGACAAAGTGCAAAGCCACAGCCCTGGTGCCCTGTGAAACACAGTGTAAGAGAGGCCAGAGCCATGGGTCGTAAAATAATTTACCAATAGCCAAGGAATACAGGAAATTAGAAGGGTTTTTTGTTTCGTTTTTATACACTGAGAGGGCATCGGCTGAGTCCAAGAGAGGATCATGCTAAATGGGGGAAAGGCTGAGATTTTTATAGGAGTTTGAGGACATAAAAAGGATTTGGGGTGATCAAAATGAGTGCCAGAAAGGCTTTCTTTAGGTCAGCTTGCACTGTTTATCTCACAGAGCACCTGGATTATGATTTACACACTAGAGGAGCCAATTTGACATGGTCCAGTCCTTTTGTTCTTTCAGAAGGTCCTTAGGGTTCACAGTAAGGACACCTAGGCACATCAACTCCAGGTCACATGTCACTGAGAGGAAATATGTATGTCCTCCCATATCCTAAAGGCATGTTTATTACTCATGTGCAGAATGTTATGGTCACTTAGGAGACAGTTTAGAGTCCTGAGGGGACAAGTATCTAGACTGATTGAAACTGTGCTGTCATTGCAGATCAACTCCATTGCTGCCTGCTCAGGCCCCACACCTAGGGCACCTGAGGGAGAACATAACTCTAGAGGACTCACTTGCAAAAACTTTTGTATCACAAGTATGATTCCCAGAGTGGAGGCCGAAGGGTTGACTGGAAGATCAAATAAAATGTCACAGAATCCAGGAATGTCTACAGTCGCCCACTTTTCAGGGTTACCTATAACCTAACCCTTTAGACTCTGGGCACAACTTTACCACCCTGACCCTCTGTTCAACTTTTTAGTTCTGTGCTTTGGTCTCCCAGTGTTCAAAAGGGGAGACTGGGAAAACAACTTCCAGCTAAAGTCTGTCTAGCTTTTAAGTTGCTGTGCTCATGAAACGTCAGTTTCTCCATACTAAATGGAACATAATATAAGAAATACATCTGGGTCAAATGAGATCTCTTGGAAAAGCTTCCTGAGAAATTAAAAAAAAAAAAAAAGTTTTTCAGATACACAATTGAGAGCCCTAAAAGGTTAGGCTTTGTTTCAGCTCACCTAACTCTCAACCACTGCATTGCACTCTTTCAGGAGGGTACTTCCACTTTGTCAATATGAATGCACCCCCTGGGATGTGGCCCTGATGTTGCTCTCCACTAGGATCTGCTTATTATTTTCTCTGGGTAGCTTCTTTAGCACTCAATAAGACTTGAGTATCACAGAAAGCCAGTGACAGGTCCTTGATGCTGGAACAAACTTCTTTTGGGTAGTTTTTTTCGATGGGTATATTTTTCTGTCAGTCAGATGACAGAAATCTGATGACTTTATCCCTTGACCTGGTCTGGGTTTTGATCTGGTGATTGCTTCTGTCATGTTACTGTATGGGCTGTAGGCTTAAGTTATTTTTCTTTGGGGAACACAATTTCTTAAACATTGATTGCTTTCTGAGACTGGGTCTCATTATGTAGCCCAGGCTGGCCTTGAACCTGGCAGTGATCCACCTGCCTAGTCTCTTCGTGTTACAATTACAGGCATGCACCAGCAAAATTTCCTTTTCTTAAGTCTCCTATTGAAAGCACTAAGTAAACCCAAGCTGGCTTAGATCTATGTGTCTTTTCACTGTTAATTTTTTATTTACTTATTTTTTTAACTTTTAATTAAAATACACAGAGAAAACATGGAAAGAAATGTACATGTCCTTAAAGTTTCACACAATGAAAATGGCTGGTCCTCCTCGCTCAGTCTCCCAAGTGCTAGTGATACCGGGAAATGAAACTCCCAACCTGAACGGTACCTGGGACGAGTTCGTGTTCCCTAAAACTGAAGAGTGAATTTTAGGAACAAACAAGAGGTTAAGAGTCCACGTGGGCTGTCCCCTAGAAGCTGTCTCTTCCAGGCACTTTTATAGAGTAAAACCATGCAGTGAGGCGGGTCTAAGGTGCAGAACATGGGAAATTGCTTAGGTGGGCAGGAGGTGGGACAAAACTATGGTCAACAGATGAGATTACAAGCACCATTGCTCAGGTAAAATTGGTTAAATCCAGGACCAAATGGGGAAGTGAGTCACGTAGCAAGTGGGCACGAATACAGAACAGGAGTTTATCCGGTAGCCAGCTGGTAGCGGTTGGATTAGTGACTCTTCTCGGCTTCTTCAAGGTGATGATCAATCCCGGATGCTTATCTTTAGTGAGGTGAGCATATGTTGGATCTTTGGTCTTCAGATCTGGTCCACAGCAGGAGCATCCTTCTCTCTCATAGTTGCAACGTATCTTGTCTTCCATACTGTCTCCTTGAAGGCCTGCCCCTGTCTGACTGCCTATAATATTTCTAATTTAGCTGCCTATTACACTAGGATTATAGGAATATACCACCACAACCACAAACAGCTTGAATGTGCCTTTGTAGGTGGGTCTCCAACCCCTGGGCTCCATGATTCTCCCCTGTTCTCAGCAGAGCGTGGATTACAGACATGTGTGGACATTCCCAGATAAGCCTTTTGGCAAACAGAAGCACACATTTCTGAGGAATACCTACATGTGAAATCACAAAGCTGACAGAAGCAGTGGTATCTGAGAGGTCTAATTGCTCAACACTCTCAATAATTAGTATTGCCTTTCAAATTTTAGGTATTCTGACAGGTGGATACCGGTACTTCATCGTGGTTTCCTTGTGTGCTGGGGCTTGAACCCAGAGTCTCATACATGCAAAGCATACCCCCTGGGCTACGCTTCCAGCCTTCTCATTACTTGTTTTTTGATTTTGAGACTCTTACCATGTCATGCTCAAACTCATGACTTTCCTGCCTCAGCCTTCCAAGTACCTAGAAGTTCAGGCACATGCCACTATGCTCGGTTATGATTTTTTTTTCTTCTTTTTGGTGTAGGTGATTAAACCTAAGGTCCTGTGTATGTTAAACAAGTGCTCTGTCACTGAACTACATCTCTAGCCTTGGCTGTGATTTTAATTTTT